ATCCCACTCGATTCTATAGGATGACATAGGGGTTATATATGGTTATATATGGATTGTACACATTTATAAACCACGGATCCGATTCGTGGTGCCCCACATCCAAGTACCTCCAATATATAGTGAGTCATTTTCGTAGGAAAATGGTGATTAACCATTGGGTGATGTTAGGAAAAAAGTGTGTTTCTTGTTGAACCAAAAAAAATAAGGACAAACATGCTTGGTTTTTTGCGCAAGCCATTCAAAATGGAGTGTGAATTACTTGTGATTTTTTGAGTTTATCACAGGTTTTCTGACACAAATGGGGATTTTTTCATATGTTTAAAACTGCAACAAACATACGGGGGGTTCAAGTCACAAACATATAGAGGTGTCACAAACAGCAGGGCCATGGGGATTTGACCTGCAAAACTGCACTTGGGAATGTGCTCAGCAAATTTTTATCTTTGATTACACAAACAAAATCAAAGCTATGCAAATAGAATCAACAAATATTAGCGGATTTCACCCATTCGAAAAAAAAAAAACACCGGGCAAAAAACCAAGCAGAATTGGGAATGAAGCAGCCCAAAATGCAGGAATATTTCGTGAGAACCTGGGAATATTCGCCAAAGATCAGGATGTGAGTCTCACAGTCAACCCAACTGGATCCACAGATGAATATCCCGCGAATTCGATGATCACAACCGGTTCTTCTTTCAACACGAATGACATAGGTTTATAACTATGGTTTATAACTCCAATAACTATGGTTTATGGTACTTATAACTATAGTTACTGGGGCGAATCTAAACCAACAAACATCACTGGGGGGCCTCACATTGTAGGCAAGTCATAGATGAATATAATTGAATATACATTAATGAGCGAAGTAATTATTCTTCTCTTCATTTTAAGAAAGCACCTTAATTCTCAGGATGCCTCTCAATTTGCGATGTCTGATTAAATACAGTTGCTGACACCATGTTTTGGTTGCTGGCTCCCATCATTTTGCGGGGCTAGAACCTTGGCGATTGTCAAGTAGGACCCACCCAATGCAGCTGATTAGTCCGGTTTCCCGTTTACCCTCTGGTAAAAAACAACATGAATTGCTGGAACATGTCCTATTTAGTTCGATGAATTTCCCATAAGCACCTCCATGGCTAGTGCGGGGATTTTGCAGCTAGCCACTTTTGATTACCAACCGGCAATATCTATCGTATCCCCATTGATATCATCATTAACTATATCTCAATTACGATAGACAATAGATATATGTATCATGTATCTTAATTATCAATAATTATATCACCATTGATATCATCATTATATACCATAATATTATGGTTGATTTTAGATCCCAATTATGTAACATATCGAATCCATGACAATTAATTATGCGCATAAATCATCCCATTCAGGCCCCCTGATCTCGATGATAACTCTATCCCTCAAAATATTCCCAATCCCAATGATTGACGGAATTCAGCGCGAGCGTTGCTACGGATCAGATATCATCACGTCATCCCTTCCCGAGGGGGGTACGGTGTGAAAGAAAGATGGGTGAACCACGAAATGATTGACCACGCTTATTAAAATACACATTACCCTCTGGTATACAAAAAACATCAGGAAAATCACCACTCCTAAATAGGTAAATCAACTATTTCTACGGGCCATGTTCCAGTTCGCAAACTGTTAGTTTACCAGAGGGTACATCCCAACAAAAGTTCACCCTTGGCCAACCTCCAAGTGAAACTCTCGAGATCCTGCGTCCTGTCTGAAAATTGGCCAAAACCGCCCTAAAATGGCAACTTTCATAGGGAAAGTTTGAATGGAAACAATGCAGAATTTGGGGCACCAGAGTTTCAAAGAAACTCAGCCATAGAATGGTTCTTTGCCATCCCCTCATTTTGACTGCCATATTGCGGGGTAGTTCCCATTCAGTGAAGCAACCAGAATGGGAGTTACCCAACTAAAATCTGGAGATATACAAAGTGGGGCCCCCTAGATAGCTAAGTTGGTTAATAACTCCAATAACTATGGTTTATGGTAGATATAACGAACTAGTAAATAGGGTTTATAAACCAACGTTCACATCACTGGGGGGCACCATGTATGTATGGAAACAATTAATGTGGGTGAATCTGAAAATTGCAAAACACGCCCCATTTTTGGGTCCATTTTTCTTGGAGAATGTGACCTTTGGAAAATGGTCGAAAATTGGCCAGTGGATAAATCGGGGTACCGATTTTTCGCATGTTGGGACAAAACCACCCCTTTTTAAAGAATGGACTATAAATAATGGATTCATAAGGTGTGACGATGTGTTGATTTAGGGATAGTACAACTTAGTATCAAGCAAAAAAGTGACCATTCATGACGTTTTTGTTACTGGTTTTTAGCTACTACAACTGCCATCCATTGGTTTTTTTGGGGCTTTTTGAAGCCCTAGGGGATTTTACTGGGGATCTTGAGACTCTCCGTTGACTCAAACAGTCACAAGACATTGTCACCAGTCGTTGTTTCCATGTGAATGTACCGCCAGTAAGATCACATCCCATTTCATAGGGATTCTGATATGAAATATAGTTACCCTCTGGTTATTTAACATAGCCATTGAAAATGGCCCATAGAAATAGATGGTTTTCCTATTCAAAATGGTGGATCTTTCCAGTTCGCAAACTGTTAGTTTACCGGAGGGTATCCCATTCTGATATTAACTACATATCCCATTCTGATAGATATAACCCCCATTCATCAACCCAAACGTGAGTCATTGGACTTATAAACGCACCAACTTAGCGATTTAGCTCACTGGGGCACCACCGATAGTAGGATAATATGGGGATGCTATATAGACTTGATACATGAACCATTAAAAATATAGCAACGTGGGATGATCATGGGATAATTAATATGGGCTTACCCTCTGGTCGACTAACAGTTTGCGAACTGGAAAATCACCACTTTTGATAGGTAAATCAACTATACCAGGTCCATGTTTTATGGCTAATATGGCTATGTTAAATGGGATAATTCATATGGGGATGGGTCAAAACCCTGGTACCTAGTGAACCCCAAAATAGCTGGTTCTTATGGATGTTCATTCCCCTAAAAATGGTATTTTCATAGGTATTGATCCATAGCCATATGGGCTTACCCCATATCTGCGTCCCAACCCCCATCCAACCCCAGCAGTCCCGGATCATGGCCGCAGTGAGGCCAACACCACTGGAGCCCCGACCAGTGGTACTGATGGCCAGTGGAGCCTCGAAAAAAATGATCCCTTGGGATCCCCGGGGTAATGGGAGATAGTGGTGATATAACCACCATTTATTGCCATATATATATATATATATATGTACATATATAATCATGTGAATGGCAGAGAGCCCTACCCAGGGCTCCACACACAGCGGCTCCTCTTTGTCTTTGAGCACGAAGGGTCCGCTACGTTCCAAGCGATGTGACACCCTGCTGGACAAAAACCACTATATACAATCATATATGTACATATATAATCTGTACATATATAATCATATATGATGTACATATACAATCATATATGTACATATACAATCATATATGTACATATACAATCAAAACAACCAAAAACAAACAACAACAAAATCATATATGTACATATACAATCATATATGTACATATACAATCATATATGTACATATACAATCATATATGTACATATACAATCATATATGTACATATACAATCATATATGTACATATATAATCATATATGTACATATACAATCATATATGTACATATACAATCATATATGTACATATACAATCATATATGTACATATACAATCATATATGTACATATACAATCATATATGTACATATACAATCATATATGTACATATATAATCATATATGTACATATACAATCATATATGTACATATACAATCATATATGTACATATATAATCATATATGTACATATATAATCATATATGTACATATATGATCATATATGTACATATATAATCATATATGTACATATATGATCATATATGTACATATATAATCATATATGTACATATATAATCATATATGTACATATATATATATATAATTATATGTATACATATAATATATATATATGTATATATTATAAAATTATATATATATGTATATATATATATAATTATATGTATACATAAAATATATATATGTATATATTATAAAATTATATATATATGTATATATATGTATGATTTGTTCCTAGGTTAAATGTCCAATTGATATGAATTGGACATTTCACCAAGAATATAAATGGCAATAAATGGTGATTAAGCATCAAAATTGTCGTATAAAGTCAAGAATAACGGGAATATAATGATCAATGGGATATGTAGTTAACAACCATGATTAACAGTGCTTCAACCAACAAGCGTCTATCATAAAAAAAAGATAAATGGTGGTTAACCAACTTAAATTTAAGTGGGTATAAAATCCAATTAAATCATGGGAAGATAATTTAAGATCCTAAGGTGACCGCAACCAATAGGGCTATATTATTACCTTTGGAGAGGGCTGCTTGCATCCCCACAATTTATAGGGGCTTTCTGATCACGCCGCTACAAAAAAGATCAAAAACAAAGACGTAAATTTTCAGCAGAAGCAAAAATGTGGTCTATCATTGACAAGAATATCCAGATTCTATGATTCATGGTTGATTTATGATTGGTGATGATTTTTTGACTACAAAACCTGTTGGATTCATAATGAAGATGCCTCCATCTCCAGGACTCCAGTTAAATGGAATTACACACCAACTTATAACTCAGGGAGCCTATTGGAAAATCAGCCGAAGAATGGTTGGATCAATACCGAGAAGTCACACCATGAATTCTTGTCATCCCAAATTTTCTTTGGTGATTTTTTGGCGGTGTGATCTTCTGTCAAAAATATTAATGTCAATCACGAAACCAAAAACACAAAAAACAACTACGACTGTAAGATCTTACAAAAACACTTTATCCAAGATCTTACAATAACACTAGATCACCAATAATAATATTATATCCAAAAACACTAAATAAAGTGTATTGCTAGAATCCATCAAGTGGAGTTTTTTCCCCAGATCCCGGGTCTGTTTTGGTAACCGCAACATTCTCCAGGGATTGTCATGGCTGACCCAGTTCAATTTGATGTTCCGAGCATATCACTGCACCACTCAACAACGGCGGACTGATGATACTCCATGTGAAAGTACCCCAGAAGGAATATCACATGAGCCACATAATGATTGCAAGATTTTTCGCATGTTCTGCGCGCAGCGAATGGATAAACAAACACTTAAGAACTTGGGTACACTAGTAATGTGGGAAACCCAATAATAACACCAACCATTTGAAGATGGTTTTGTAGCCCATCCATATCTTTGGTTTATGTTAATGCGATTACCAGATGATTATTTGATTCTCATGAAAATCGTTGGGCCCCTCTGGTAATTTGTTACATAGCAAACTGGAACATGGCCCAGTCGAAATAGTTGATTTTCATTCACGTCATTCACCCGCCATTGAGTAAATAGTTGATTCACCCATTAAAAAACATCAAAAATTGTGATTTTTGGTTAACGTTTACCAGGCCGGGTAACTTCCCACATTGACAACTCATCCAAAAACGGGATTTTTTTCTTGGGCAAATCACTGGAAACCACAACGGATGTTGGTTTTTTCCGTAAAAGTCCCATGGTGCGATCGCCAGGGGCTTTCCGAAGTACATGTTCCCTAAGTTGGTTAGTTGTAAAAACTCCAACCATGATTTATGGATATTTATGGTACTTTTAAACGAATCCATTGATTTTCATTGATGTTCATTGATTTTCCGCTATTTCTATGGCAATTTTCAGTAGTTGGTGAATGTGGGTGAATAACTTTCTGGTGCGTTTTACGTAGGGTTGCTGGATGGGTTGCTGGGGGTTGCTGGGAATATAGTTAGCCAGTGGATCCTTCCCGAAAATTCCCTACGTTTAGCACCAGTAAGTTTATGGTACTTTTCAACGAATCCATTGATTTTCCGCTACCAGTCGCCCCTGGTCCAATTGTTTTCGGTGGAAATTTCCTGGGCGTCCCGTGCGGTGTTCATGACGAAGCGAAGCATCTGACTCTTCCCACAGGATGGGTCGCCCACCAACAAGACCTCGGACGGTGTGTCAAGGATGGAGGTGTAGCCTCCGGAGTTAACATGGATATATGGGAGCATATGGCAGTGTGTCAAAACCTTGTACCCCTGGTGAACATCAAAATAGTTGGTAAATGGATGTTCATCCCACTAAAAATGTATCTATAGGTATTGACTCATACCCATATGATGGAGGGTACCATGGATATATAGGTACAAGGTGGGGCCAATAGCTCGCTTGAACCAAGATTTCATGACTAGCTGAATCAGGCTGAATCCTATGGTTCATGGGGCCCCAGTTCGGAATCGCTAAGTTGGTGCAAATAACTATAATAACAATAGTGTATGATACTTATAACATATTTTAACTATACTAATTGGTGGTTTCAACCCCTCTGAAAAATATGAAAGTCAGATTGGATCATCATCCAGTTCCTATTGGGGGAAAATAATCCAAATGTTCCAAACCACCAACCAGTATACTTAGAGGGGATTATAAACCAATGTTCACATCACTGGGGTGGCCCATCCTGTATGGTTGATAGATGATATCCACAGTCACTGGGCGAAACAGAACTGGCAGAACTGTGGGGTCTCACCTTCGAACTGAGCCGCACAACTGGACGGACAAATAGAACTCAGCTGTTGCTGATATGAAAATATGTGGATGATTGGATAATAATACCCTATGGATCCAAACACTGTCTGAGAAGGTACTTGGATCCACAGGGATAGGATTTAACCGCCAGCACTGGATTGTTAGAATAGGTAAGAATAAATAGTAATCATCAACAATGAAAGTGTGTTTATGCTCATCCCGCCATTGTTCGGAATTCCTTATAAGCGGGTATGTAAATCACAGTTTTCCTGGATTCATGAGCATATACTATATAATCCAACGCAACGACCCCCAACGTCACGCATTTCACATCTCAATGAGCTGCGCGAAAAAGTGACCAATGGGATTTGCCCCTATTCCTACAACAAATTTGGTGTCTGACAGTCCCACCTGGACATTGCCTTGCGCAACGCGTTGCGGTGAGGCTTTTTTAACCCATAATGCACCAAGGAACTGCTTAACTGATCAGCAACAAGACTGTGGGTATCTCAAGATTTTAAGTTGGAGACGTCCTGAAATATCTGAAATTGAATCTGAGGACGATTTCTACACGACTTCACCATCTGCCGTGCCGAAAAACAGGACGTTGTTCCAATTGACTGAGCTCCAAACATTGATGTCTCCGCGCAAATGCGTGCCATTCGACAGGTTCTTTTCCTCAGTGAAGACCCCAAATGATAGGTTAATTCAGAAAAACGGGATACAATGGGCATATAGTCAACAAGCATCTAGGTAAGTTGGCTTATAAGTAGGCTCACAATTGGATTTATGACGGATATTAATCTATATAATTAATCTACAGTTTGGTTGGATTATAAACCAACAAACAGAACCTGGGGGGGACGGTCATCTTCAGAAGTTCCCCCATCAACAGCATATATCTACTGTAACTGCTATTCACAACGGTAAATTTATAGCTGATTGACGTTGATGAAACCATAACTATGTCATCATGTTTGGGTAGCATGTATGGTGAGGTTGTTGCAGGTGCGAAAAACCATTCAGTTGTGTATATGTACATACCCAGACACCCATTCAGTACTCATGAAAATGGGCAGAAGGACCAACATAGATTGATAAGTTCGTCAAAAAAACATATTGAGTGTCGAGCTAGGTACTCTCTGGTAAACGTTTTTTCAGTTTGCGAACTGGAAAATCACCATTTTTAATAGCTAAATCATCTATTTCTATGGTCCATTTGGTCCATTTTCCATAGCTATGACCAGAGTGTAAATGTATTGCTATGTTCCTGTGAATCATATCACCATCTTGGAAAGCGAGCCTCTCTTATCTTTTGGGGATTGTATCCTATCAAAAACTTGGATCACCCAGTGTGGTGAACCCAAGTCCGACCCAGAATCAGATTCCAAACTGGAAGTAAGACATTGTTAGTCATGAATATTCATACATATAACTATATAAACATAGTTCAAATATTATGTGTAATATATATTATATACTGTATAATCATAATAAATATAATATCAATGCACAAATCTCAATCCATCGTGAGCTCCGCCAGAGAGATTGCTAACAAATAACCCTGCGCACATCATCCCCTAACTTTTTTGCCGAGCAGCAACACCACCAAGCATCTGGAGCAACAAACCAGCTTTCACGCGCTCATGTCCTGTGCGGATTGTCGGCCATTGATGGGAGGCCCCCTCACCATGGATTCCTTCTTGTCAGATGGGGATTACCAAGTCCACAATCCCTTTGCAAAATCAAGAGAAGAGGTAATGGTCAACACGGGGTCTACCCGGTCTACCCAGCAATAAAATTATTTGACATTGGTATATAAAAAAAACAAATATGAGGATCATTGAGGATCTAACCCACAATAATGACCACAAAACCCCCAAGAGACAGGTTGGGTGCATTGACTAGGGTGACCGTGGCTTATAAATTTTGATATCTCTACAAGTCCATGGTCCACATGATATGTCGTGTCTTTTGATACCTTCCTCCTCACATTAAATACCCCCAAAACCCTCAGGTTTAGGATAGGATCTATTCATGAATTCGGGGCCCATATAATGGGGGGGATTTAAATTGGATAGATAGGACTAAATTTTGACAATATGGTCTTCCCATGTAGGCAGTGTTCAAAACCTTTGTCATCCCCTTATACAGGCTGGTTACAGTAATAAGATTGTCCGCTTCATGCATTGTGATAATCCCCGATAAGTACAGTATACCCTCTCGTAAAGTAACATGGCTATGGAAAATCACAATTTTTCATGGGTAAATCATGTCCCTTGGCAACCTCTTGTCCCGCTCCTTCGACACATTCCAACACTAAGGTGTGGGCTTGCAGAAAGAAGCATGCATGAAGAGTATGAATGAGGGATTGAGCCCTTTCATCATGAGAACGTTTACCATCACCAAGTTTCGACCATGGTTGGCAATTGAATCCTGAGGTCATCCAAGCAGGGGACCCTGCTAAGCTTTGTGGATAGCTTCCAGGGTCTTGGTGGTCCCCAAATCGCGGAAAGGCTGTCTGATCTCATTGGAGTACTGACGCCACATGCCTCCAATGCCTGCACATACCTCGACAGCCTAGGCAAAGGTACCTAGGCTCGGAACCCGGTGTGGCAAAATGCTGCCTCCAGTTGTGTCAACCACTGTCCTACTACCTGTTTGAAGCACCTGGGCATCCAACAGTGTGACCATAGGTGTGTCAGGGATCATCCCTGGCGGCCTTGGTCTTCATGCGCCCTGAGATGAACGGAGTGCGCCGCTTGCATCCCACCTGTCAGGTGGTTGAAGACCACGTCGTCGAACTTCTGCGCCCAAAACGAGTCCACGCTGCCCTTTATACAGGCTGATTAATAAGATTGTCCGCTTCATGCATTGTGATAATCCCCGATAAGTACAGTATACCCTCTCGTAAAGTAACATGGCTATGGAAAATCACAATTTTTCATGGGTAAATCATGTCCCTTGGCAACCTCTTGTCCCGCTCCTTCGACACATTCCAACACTAAGGTGTGGGCTTGCAGAAAGAAGCATGCATGAAGAGTATGAATGAGGGATTGAGCCCTTTCATCATGAGAACGTTTACCATCACCAAGTTTCGACCATGGTTGGCAATTGAATCCTGAGGTCATCCAAGCAGGGGACCCTGCTAAGCTTTGTGGATAGCTTCCAGGGTCTTGGTGGTCCCCAAATCGCGGAAAGGCTGTCTGATCTCATTGGAGTACTGACGCCACATGCCTCCAATGCCTGCACATACCTCGACAGCCTAGGCAAAGGTACCTAGGCTCGGAACCCGGTGTGGCAAAATGCTGCCTCCAGTTGTGTCAACCACTGTCCTACTACCTGTTTGAAGCACCTGGGCATCCAACAGTGTGACCATAGGTGTGTCAGGGATCATCCCTGGCGGCCTTGGTCTTCATGCGCCCTGAGATGAACGGAGTGCGCCGCTTGCATCCCACCTGTCAGGTGGTTGAAGACCACGTCGTCGAACTTCTGCGCCCAAAACGAGTCCACCCCCGATCTTTGTTGGTTTATAATCCCACTCACTACAGATATATCCCCCATGAACCATAGTTAATTAACCAAGTTACAAGTCAACAAGTCGGATATATATCATGATATATCCCGGATATCCCCCATAAACCATATAGAATATCATAGAATATCATAGAAAACCATACAATATCATAGAATTCACCAAGTTATGTTCCTCAACTTAGCTGTTTCGAGCTCACCCCTCGTGAACTTTTAAAAGACAAACCGAGTCACCACAAATGGAGGGCGCAAAGGAGCGTGCCAAGAGCTGGAAGGTGTCCTTTCCGGCTCGGTCGACTGCAGCTGTCATGTTTTCAATGGGAAATCAATGGGAGATCTTCAGGATCCGAACAGATGGAGGTACGTTAGTACCATATGTTTGACCATATGAATTGTGGGGATATTCCCTGAAATTTAGGCCTGATAATTATAGGCCTTATATATCCTTATATATGGTAGGTACCTCCAATTTAGGTTCCTGAAATGGTCATTGAGGAAACATCATCACACATTTTTGAGCTACCGAAAAAGAAAGGAACACATCGTGTTGAAAGGAAGCCTGCACTTCTGATCCCAGACAGGAAAACAACAAAGCACAAAATGACAGGATATACCCTCTGGTATCATCAAACCTGGCAATTGAACATAGTTTTAATGCGGTTTAGTTCGCTAGGAAACCATCGAACTATATATAGTGGATGTTCCAGACATGTTTGATCCGGAGGGTGTTATGTGCTCCTCCATCAACACCGGCTCTAAATCATTTGGAGGTTTCCTGAAATGGGGGTGCCTCTAAATCATCCATTTGCATAGGATTTTCCATTCCAAACCATCCAGCCAGCTTGGGGATCCATGGGGAACCCCCATATCATCCATGAAAAAAACATGACCCTCCAGTAAATTAACAGTTGGACCCTGCCAGAAAACGGGCTTGGAAGGCTTAGTTTCCACTATAAATGGGTCATTGTCAGGGTCCAACATGTTAATTTACCAGGGGCTAAATCCCATTAAATCCCATTTAATCACCATTAATAAATCACCATTAATCACCATTCAATCCCATTTAATCACCATAAATCACCATTAAATCCCATTTACCAGGGGCTAAATCAATCATTCAACGACGCCCTAAAACCCTGGGTTTTCTTCCACCCGGCCATCGCCTCTCGCTCCGCAATCTTTTGGATGTTGTTGATCTGCAGAGGCGGGCGAGGCGTTTTTGGAGGTGTGGAGGACAGGGCGGCGCCGGGAGGAGCCGTCCCACATGGGAACATCGATGGTACCCTCTGGTTATGTCAAACATAGCTATTGAAAATGGCCCAGTCGAAATAGTGAGTTTTCCCATTAATAGCATGGTGATTTTCCATAGTTATGTAAACGTTTACCAGAGGGTAAATAAACTAACAGTTTGCGAACTGGAAGCCATGGCCCCAATCGAAATCGATGATTTACCTATAAAAAACGCATGGTGATTTTCGAGTTCGCGAACTGGCAATGTCATTACCAGAGGCTAACTTGCTAAGAAATCCCTGGAGGATCATCCCACTCATAGGAAAAATGGAAAAAACATAGGAAAAACATGTGGTTTTAATGATCATCCCATAGGAAAAATAAATGAGAAAATCCCTGACATTTTTAACATGTGGCAAATCCCTGACATTTTTAAAGAGGTCCTGTGCTAAAACTACTTGCACCGGTCACGTAAAAAAACGAACCACTTTTCACGATTCCTTGGATGATCCTAGGATGGAAATTCCCATTCCCATATGCGAACCATGGTGCTGGTATATTTACCTACAAAACTGGGTGATTTTGTTCGGTAAAATGTTGGTAAATATTCCAGCACCATGGAGCATTTGGGATTTATAGAGAATTTTTGTCAGCTAGAAACTTACATGTACATATAGATTTTTGTTCCATAGCTAGTGGCACAATGATGGGTTCTTACCGCTCAAAAAAAACATCAGTTTATATCCCCAAAAACTACATGGGCATTCCGCACTTTCAGACACACCAAAATACCAACCAAAATACCAATTGTGGGCCATGATATACGAGTACCGTACCTATTTTTGTTGGTTTAACCTTCAAAAAATTGATTCATACGATGATCACGTGAACTCGTCGTTTTCCCATATGTGTTCAATTACATTCCCATTCTGTATCCCCACTATGTATCCCCACTATAACCCGTCAAAAATCACCATAAAATCCTTGGTTCGTGTTGATAATTGATATGACATGATATGACCATTCTATCCTCATGAGACGGGTAGTTTGAGCCGGGTCGCTGATGTTTTCCTGCAACCATTCTATGGGGGAGTGCTAAGGTGTCACTCCTGTTTCCGATTGGGGAACTGACCCCCGCTGAGCTTCAACATAGTTCAACCCAATCAATTAGGCAGTATAAGTCCCAATTAACCCATCAACCAGGGTATTTTCTTCATGGCACTGCTGAAAAAAGGTGGTTTGTCTGAAAATATGCGATTCCCACATCCTGTTTGAATTATTCAAATTGTTCCCTATGAAACTGGTTATTTCCCCTATGTTCAAATAACCCCATTAACATCATAGAACTATAGCTAATTGGTGGTATACCTACCCCTCTGAAAAATATGACAACTCGTCAGTTGGGATGATGAAATTCCCAGTTAATATGGACAGTCATAATCCATTCATGTTCCAAAGCACCAACCAGATAGTTCTAGGTCCCCTTTTACGGGGCCAAGTCCTCGAGCTTCCCAGGTCTCGGCTCCAATGTCCCCAAGGTCCCCCCGGCATCTTCGGGCGTAAAGTTGGGCTCTGTGAGTTCTTTCACCGGCTTGATGTCTGTGGCCACCTAGGTACCCTGTCTGTGGGCTACCCGTTGAGTCAGGCCCCCAGGAGGATGGGGGATGTTGATTCACCCAGTCATATGAGGAAAATGTCATAGCTTTGACATGCTTTGACCCATCCCGGATTATGTCTTTTTCACCGGAAACCATGGATTTTCAAATTGTTCCTTTTTTTAAGAGGTTTTTGGCTGATTTTTGGTGGATTGGAGCCTACAAGAATTGGGATTTAAGCGACAAACTCAATGAATTGGTTTTGTTGGGAAAGGCTTAACCCAAGACCATTGATTTTTGCCCGCCAAAAATGATTCGGGCTTGCAGTGTCAATTTTCCCTTGATGTTGCTAGATCTAGGGACCTTAACCACCATCTTAAGCGTATTACAATGACCATTTGGGTGTTTTTACCCCATGTTCAGAGACACCCACGTCAGAATTAGGGCATCGTCTTTCTGTCTGGTGCCATCAACTTGGTTGTATACTCAGTATATATGTGCCATAGTCAAAACAGGGTATGCATGGTATGGGCATTCGAACATTGATAGGAATTCCTTACAATGGAAACAGATTATGATTATATGATGTGGAAACTTTAGATACAATGGGTACTTCCTTGAATGGTATGGGTATCTTATGTAAACATATTTATATATGATGTGGAAATCTCTTCGTGGGGGGATGACCATGGCAGATTCATGTTGCACAGACTCGTCTTGAAAGGTATCAACATTCGGACAAATCGACAACCAAGACGGTTGTCTGTAACCACATAAAAATATATAAAAATCATAAAAGTTCTTAGTGAGTGCTACAGCTGCTACAACCCATTGCTCTGTCTGTGTGTGTGCCACATGCTGACTCATATGTTTTCCAATTGCAACAGCAAGTGACACGGACAGTGACCCTAGAACTGAACTGAACCATAAAAAAACGAAGCAAAAGGTGACCCAAAAACGTGATCTTTTACACAGAGCCTTTCCACACAGCAACTTTACAGAGGGGCTTTTACACAAGGTGTTTACACAGAAAAGTCTTTACGCAAACGGGCTTTTACATACAAACACGATTGCACACGGAAGCTTTTGCACAGAGAAGCCTTTACACAGAGGAGTTTTTACACAGTTTTTCGAACATCTTCATTTCTTGAGGTTGATCTTGGAATTGTCGGTGGATTTGCACTACCCTCTGGTAAATCAACATGGCTATAGAAAATCACCATCTTCAATAGGTAAATCAACTATAAATGGGCCATTTTCAATAGCTATGTTAAATTACCCCCATAGTTAGCTAAGTTGGTTTATACGTCCAATAACTAGGGTTTATGGGGGTTATATCTATAGTTAATGGGGATTATAATCCAACAAACATAACTATGGGGGCACCACCTTGTAGCTTCAATTGTTTTGCTGTCCTGGAACGTTGTGGGCAAAACACGAACGTTCGAGCCTTGGAGCATGAATTGCTAGTCTTGTTCTGCCGCTCAAACTATGCAAATCATGAGTTTTCAGCCCAGACAATCAATATCAATCAATATTAAAAACATAAATTGCCGGAAATATTGATAAACATACATATATTATAAAAACATACATATATATATATAATTATATATAAAAACCACAAATTGCCAGAAAGCTTTCCGGATCATGGCGTCAGTAGGGAAGTCAGTACCCTGCCATACTCATGTGGACCTTTTGGCCAGGCTTGACCCGGAAAGTCGTCCATTTTAGAAAATAACCTGAAGGAGCCCCCCCTATTGTCAGGGTCCATCTTAATTTTGGGGAGTGTAAATCATGTTGGATCCCTTTTTTCTTTTTTTTCTGTTGTCATTACATGGCAGAACTTTCATATTTTCTTCGGTTAGACATGGTTTTGAATTTCTACAATGTGGGGCCCTCCCAGTGATGTGTTTTGGGTTTATAAACCTCACTAACTCTAGTTATAAATACCATAAACCCATAATTGTGATTGGAGTTATGTTCACCAACTTAGCCAATCATATATAAATCAGCTTTAAATCAGAAATTCCCATATGTTTGTTTCTTAGATCACCATTTTACCATGATTTTCCAGTTGTTCCACCATTTTTCCATGGTTTTCCTAGGGTTTTCCTATGTTTTTTCAGTTGGTTAGATCATTTTCCCATGGTTTCGCTAGTACCCCGGCTTAGATTCACCTCAGCTCCGCGCCAACTTTGCCGGGAAGACTCCGTCGGTGAAGTCCTTCGCGCGGAAAGGTTTAATGGTATCTCATATAATTACCCATAGGATCCATGTATGGTATATATGCTAACATTTGGGGTGTATTGATGGTAAATGTTACCATATATAGCATACATGGATCCTATGGGTTATACATGGTATAATGGTATCTAATGGTATAATGGTATCATGATTATATAATGGTGTATATATATATTATAATGGTATCATATCTAATGGTTTTTGTTTATTATCTCATGTAATTGTAGATGGTATAATGTTTATCGATATGTAGTCGATACGTAGCCTCTTTATAGCCCCAACTCTGTTGGAGGGTCCCTAGAGGGTCCGTAGGGCACATCTTCCATGTAACAGATCACGTAACAACTCATGTAACAGTTTTTTACGGGGTTCCCAAAGGAAAATTTAAGCAAATTTACCGTGGATCCTACAATGTGAGGCCCCCAAGATAGCTAAGTTGGTTTATAACTCCAATAACTATGGTTTATGGTACTTATAACTATAGTTACTGGGGCTTATAAACCAACTTATAACTGGGGGGCCTCACATTGTATAAAGAGGCTACCAATATTATATATATTTAAGAATCCCTGGGTCCCCAGGAGTGGTCCGTGGCCTAACCTCAGTTTAACAGTTATAAAGGTTTGTATCTATGATGCCCGGGGGCCTCTTTAATGATATCATATAAATTCAATTCCATATGGCTATGTCTACTAGTACAAACTTTTGAAACCATGCATACCAACTTACTATAGCCATGTTTCATTTCTATTCCAGTTTGTTTCAAGTGCAAATGCATAAGATATAAGTGACAATATCAAGATGACTTTGTTTTGCTATACTGTCATTATCCCACGTTAAAATTCAAATGAATCAGAATCATATTGTATATGACTTCTCTTAACCCCAAAGTCTGTCGGGAAGGTCCTTACCCATTCGCTGGGGACGTGACAAGTCATTCAATAATTCATGTAACAGGCCGGGGTTGATTTGGGTCGAACTGGAGTCAGATTCTCGCACATCTTTGGGCATGTCATGTGTAAGCATACTTATAGAATCTTATAGATATTCTACGTCGCGTCTCCTCAATTTGTGATAGTGAAATCCTTTATTGTTTAACAAGTCGCATTAAGTATGATCATGTATTATCCTCATTCAACTTGTTCATCTTGTTCATGTCACGTCTCCTCCTAAATATTATCCTTTATTTAGATTCGTTCATGCAATCGTTCTTGTTCAAAGTCGCGGCACGTTGCCTAAAAGGCTCTGTTGTGCCTCCAAAGATCGAGAAGTATCAGGTCATGGTTTTTTTTATGTTGTATAATGGAATAATGGCGGTGTAATGGTGTATATTTGTATATATCTTATATAATGGTATCTAATGGTATATTATATTATATTATATATATGAAAGAATTCATGAAATATTCATGGTTTGATGCTTGGAAATATGTTTAGATATATTCATGGTATATGTGTAGATATATTAGATATGAAATAATTCTTATCAATATATCTAATGGTATCAATAACATGGTATATTATGTATAATATAAAATATAAACTATCAATAACATATTTAAGAAAATTAAATATGAATCAATAGGATATTCATAGGAATGACAAAGCGAGCTCTTGGCAAAAAAATGGAGATAACTATCTTTTTGAAAATGGTACTGCAAACCATGCGAGTGTGTTTTTGTTAATGGGGAATACAATTTACCGCAGTCGAATGGATTGGCTACATTTAATCATCATTTACCATTTCCTATGGATGAATAGGCTTTACAATAGGATTAATGGGTAGCTACCCATATAGCCTATAATACAATTTAAGCATAGGATTTGGGGTAGCCTATTTTCAGTCAGACCCATATGGATGTGGCAGGGAAAACATGTGAAAACCCCTGCCCTGAATTCTAGCTGGGATTCATGGATGCTCAACACCGGAAGAGGATACTTGACTCGGTTTTGACCAACCTGAACTGGTTGGTGGTGCAATAACCATCTTGAAAAATGATGGAGTGAAAGTCAATGGGTTTCGGATGACATCCCATATATGAAATGGAAAATCAAAGCCATGATTGAAACCACCAACCAGATATTAATCATTATTAACCATCACTAACCATCATTAACCATCATTAACTATCATGAACCACCAACCACCAACCAAGAAATTTAGAGAATCTGCGGACCGAGGGATTTTTCAAATCCCAAATCTCCATGTGGATCATGTGGATCGATTTTTCTTCCAACAAATGATCCAACAAATCATTGAGCTGACTAACCACTTCTGAGTAGCCTCCCGGTAACATGGCAATGAACAAAAAGACCCATTTCTAGTTGACTTTCCCATGGAAATCTTCCATTTGAAGGTGATTCTCCATTCATTTTTGAGGGATTCTCCCATCAAAGCCATGGGTAAAAGCTCCATTTATAGGTGATTTTGGTGATTTTCCTATCAGAAAACCCTCCATTTTGGCCCCTTCATTGCGCAGCTTCAAACCAGCTTGCCATGGCCGTTGACACCGAAAAAATGTCACGGCTCCTGCAAAGGCGGTGGAAAGGATCGATAGATCCCAATCACCTGGACTCGGTCTCCAGGTTTGGCCTCCGCTGTTTGGCTCGGCGAACTCGGACACCGTTTTTTTATGTCCCACAAAATGGCTATTTCATGGCTACTTTATGACATTCTAACCATAGTGTACTACGGTAGGATTTATATAGGCTATATATGCATAAATTGGCCAATGGGCTTTATAAAAAAGGATCGTTTATGGCTACCATTGGCTAATATTAATGGCTACAACAGGATTTATATAGGCAATATATGGCTATATATGGCTATATAGGCTATATAGGCTATATAGGCTATATAGGCTATATAGGCTATATAGGCTATATAGACTATATAGGCTATATGATCTTTAGTATAGGATTATAGGATTTCTTAATTTACCCATGTTGAGGGGTTATGCATACCGCTGCTTTTTTGCTCGTCGCGGGAAGCTGCCCATCAGAAATCGAGAGACAGTGAGAGACAGTGAGAGAGACAAAGCTGAAACAGAAAAAAAAACTGGTTGGTGGTTGACCTACCCCTCTGAAAAATATGACAACTCGTCAGTTGGGATGATTGTTTATTCCCAATTAATATGGAAAGTCATTCAAAATTCCATGGTTCCAGTCATCACCAACCAGAAAATTTCGGTCTCCAAGATGGTGATTGATGCTGTTTTCTGGCTGGTCTTTGAATGTATTTTTGATTGGATCTAATGGTGATTGAATGGTGATTTAATGGTAATTTAATGGTGATTGAATGGTGATTGAATGGGATTTATTTTCTTTAGCTTGCTAAGTCGTTGAACTACGCGAAGTCTGTGGGTAGAGAATCCCTTCCCCCATTCAAGATTGAACACTCCCCAGAAACCATGGTTTAGCAGAGATTTACCATCTGGTAAATTAACAGTTCGACCCTGGCAGTCATCGGGGTTGGAAGACTAGTTTCCATTAAAAATTGGTGATTTTCAGGGTCAACATGTTAATTTACCAGAGGCTAAATCCCATTAAATCCCATTTAATCACCATAAATCACCATTAATCACCATTAAATCCCATTAAATCACCATAAACCATAGTTTTTACCAGAGATTTACAAAATGGCTATTTCATGGCTACTTTATGACATTCTAACCATAGTGTACTACGGTAGGATTTATATAGGCTATATATGGCTATATATGGCTATATAGACTATATAGGCTATATGATCTTTAGTATAGGATTATAGGATTTCTTAATTTACCCATGTTGAGGGGTTATGCATACCGCTGCTTTTTTGCTCGTCGCGGGAAGCTGCCCATCAGAAATCGAGAGACAGTGAGAGACAGTGAGAGAGACAAAGCTGAAACAGAAAAAAAAACTGGTTGGTGGTTGACCTACCCCTCTGAAAAATATGACAACTCGTCAGTTGGGATTTGTTTATTCCCAATTAATATGGAAAGTCATTCAAAATTCCCATGGTTCCAGTCATCACCAACCAGAAAATTTCGGTCTCCAAGATGGTGATTTATGCTGTTTTCTGGCTGGTCTTTGAATGTATTTTTGATTGGATCTAATGGTGATTTGATGGTAATTTAATGGTGATTTATGGTGATTTATGGTGATTGAATGGGATTTATTTTCTTTAGTTAGCTAAGTCGTTGAACTACGCGAACTCTGTGGCTTGTAGAGAATCCCTTCCCCCATGGTTTTGCAGAGATTGGGTGGATAGAATTACGTCGAACTGCACGTTGTTAGTTGGGTTCATGACACCATTCACCAACTGGGGCAACGCAGGGGTTCAGTGACCATTCACCATCTTGGCCAGAGAAATAGTATGAAATGGTTAGGTACTGTAACATACTGTAACTAATAAATGATATAAATGTTCATCCATAACTATAATCAACCAATACTTCACTAAATCAATTGGGGGCATATCCCCTTAGGCCCCAGACATTAGCGGCTAAGTCAGAGTCTGTTGGGATGATCCGATGCTCATGATGCGACTTGCAGCGTTGCTAAAATAGCAATGTGGGCCCTACCAAGTTGTAAGTTGGTTTGTAAAGTTCTTGAACTCTAGTTATAAAATGTTTTATAAGATGTTATCAGTACCATAAACATCCATACTCCGAAGTGAAATTGGAGTTATGTTCACCAACTCAGCGATTTCGTAAACGGAGTCATTGGTGCAATTCCAGCTGTAAGCGACTGTATAACATGCTTATGGGGGTTGTATCCCCACTTATGAGGGGTATTGTCATAGTAAAAAAACACGTTTTTCCACGACGTATCATCTACGTATCAACCAGTTGAATGAGACCCACGGAAATGGAGCTTTCCGGTACATGGGGGTACCCTTACAATGTGAGGCCCCCAAGATAGCTAAGTTGGTGCAAATAACTCCAATAACTATGGTTTATGGTACTTAGAACTATAGTTACTGGGGCGAATCTAAACCAACTTATAACTGGGGGGCCTCACATTGTAGTTATCATCCATTTATAGATGGGATTTAGCCCAACAAAAACCATCCAGCGATAAAGGGGTACCCCCATGACTATGGAAACCCCCATGACTATGATGTTATTTTCGGATTGTCCATGAAATAAACCATCCAGCGAGCTTGGGGTACCTCCATTTGTCATGGCCAATCTTAGATACCAAAAAATGACCAATTCTTAGCTGGTTAGTAGATAATCCCATTGATACCATCCAAGACTAGTTCGGATTAGTTTCTATCCATCCAGTTGATTGACCTAGTACTCATCCATTAATCATCCATTCATCATCCCATTAACCATCCATTAATCATCCATTAACCATCCAGTTCATTGACCTAGAAACTGCTTAAAAAATGCCATGTAATTATATCATCACCATATTCCCATGGATATTCCCATTTCACATAACCAGTGAGGTTCTCTTCATGGCTTTTCCCATGGCATCCCCCTGCTATTGGGCTACCTCCATGACCAATCTGCTGGCCTTGTCACAAAGGTCGCCATCACAGATCACTTTGATGCTCCTGCCGCGGCTCGCTCGGTGGCGCGAATGTTAAACAGGGCCCTGCCTAAAACGGCAGCCTAAAACGGTGGCAGCCTGACATGGCAAGCTGGGAGTTTTTTCGCTGGGAAATGATACAAGGTGGTGCCCCCATAGTGATGTTTGTTGGTTTATAATCCCCATTAACTATAGATATAACCCCCTAATCAACCCTAGTTATTGGACTTATAAACCAACTTAGCCAACTATGGGGCACCACCTTGTAGGAAAATATGGCAAAGAGCCACTTGAAAAATGGGAGCTACAAAGGCTGACATTCTGAGGCGCCCAATCCCCGTACCAAAAAAACATGGGAAAAGATTAGGGGAAATCCCCGTACGATATATGGAGGATATATGGAGGAGTTACGATATATGGGAAATCCCATCAATATAATGTACGATATATGGAGGTTTAGTTCGCTAACATCAATGAATAATTAGATGAGGGAGTTACAACATACCATGTCTGACGACACTGAAGGGTAGGGGTTCCAATACCATGTTTGACGACACCGGAGGGCAATATGAAAATGATGCTAAACCATGGGACATTGGGATAGGGGATGATTTCATTGGAAAATGATGCCTGAACTGCCTGAACCATTGGAATTTGGGGTGCCAGTATTGTTGTTTTTTCGGACCCATTCATTCAGTTGTCTTTCTGATGAAATGTTCACACATGAAAATGGCGAAAGGTTAAGCCAATAACCTACCACTCACCAACATTATGGCCATATTGAAAAAATGAGGTTTGAAACCACTGAATTTGGAGCTTCAGACAAAGATGTGGCTCAGCAAATGTTTCAGAAAAATAGGGACCCAACCCCATATTTTCCCTATCATTTTAAATCCACTGGTAATCAATAAGGACTGTGGAAAAAAAAGCCAGTGGATTATAGCTGGTTGGTGGTATACCTACCCCTCTGAAGAATATGAGTTCGTCAGTTGGGATGATGAAATTCCCAACTGAATGGAAAGTCATTCAAAATTCCATGGTTCCATTATTGATTATTATATCTCATGATATCCCATTAAAAAACCATGGTTCCAGTCACCACCAACCAGATAATCTTCCCTCTAAAAATGGCAACTGTGGAGCCAACCCCGACACGACACTCCGCAGCGGCACCTGGGAATCTGCCCCGGTGGCGCCGTATCTGGCGTTTCTTGGATGGTGAAATGCTGCGAGTCCTGAAGGGAACAGAGGCCATGTGGCCATGGAGGTAGCCTATGTCAGGTCTATTTTTTAGCGCTAGATATAATTTGATGAAGATATAATCAGATTATATTGATATATCAACTTACCCTCTGGTAATTTGGTACATAACTATGGAAAGATCCACCATTTTCTAGCTGGGAAAATCCACTATTTCTATGGTCATGGCTTCAATAGCTACGTAACAAATTACCAGAGGGTAAGTTGATATAAGTTGATCTCTCCCCAATTTCTATGGCTTTATATGGCTTGAGATACCTCCAGTTTTTATGGAACCCCTGTTGCATTGATGGAACTGGAAGGGAGAATCCCCAGTTATGCCATGAAATTCATGCAACAAAAACATCAGTCCATGATCATACCATTGGGTATTTCAAAATAGAATCCAAAAAATGAGTGAACAAAACATACCATCTGGTTATGACGAATATAGCCATGGAAAATCACCATTTATAATAGGTAAACCATCTACAAATGGGCCATTTCCCATGGCTATGTTAAACAACCAGAGGGTAAGTCCCGATGGCAGAATAATGGTATAATACTCGTATAATATTGGCATAATACTGGTAGAATAATGGTATGACAATGCTATAATTTGATTTATAATCACCCAACATTGGGAAAAGAATCCCTTCCCCTAACAAATCAAAGCACTCCCCAGAAACCATGGTTTAGTAGGAGGTTTGGGATCATACAATGGGGGTGTTTAATATTAGGAGATGGGATTGATTCATATTTTGCCTGCTATGTTTTTGATTGCATACTTTAAAACTACAATATTTGAAACCTGTGCTTGCCTATAGCTTAATGGAGATGCATTCCTGTTAATGTCTTCCTTAAACCAAATGAAACCCAAGGCAAAACATAGAATTTAAGGATGTTTGATCTGAAATAGGTGCCATTTAGGTGCCATTCACCATTGGGATTGGTAGCCATTAACCACTACTGACCATATGTATCAAACAGATATGACCAATGTATATATATATAATATTATATAATTATGTATACTGGTTGGTGGTTTCAACCCCTCTGAAAAATATGAGTTCGTCAGTTGGGATGATGAAATTCCTAATTGATATGGAAAGTCATTCAAAATTCCATGGTTCCAGTCACCACCAAGCAGTATAATTTGCCTCGCGGCCAATTCTTCCCTTAAGCCACTGATCATGCGGGTTCCCTCGACATCGGAAAGCCGGGGTGATCCATCCGGCTACCGTACGCGGCCAGCTGCCACGCGGCCGACACAAGTGTTGACAGCAGATCTAATTTACTATAGCAAGGCCAAACAAGAGAGAACCCAGAATTCCAAACCATTTTTTCTGTGGCAAATTGAAGCTTTTCTCTTAAGTTTTGCTGCTTACTATAAATAGAAAAAACTGTATCTCTGTACATGTGTGTATATATTACCCAGGACTCCCAAGCCCCCCCCCCTCCCCCACCCATGGTCCCCCCCCCCCCTGTGGCCTGGGATGGTGGTATGGTTCTTCTGGTCCCCCCCCCTGTGACCTGTGGTGGTGGTATGGTTCTTCTGGTCCCCCCCCCTGTGGCCTGTGGTGGTGGTATGTTGGTATGTTGGTATGTTGGTATGTTGGTATGTTGGTATGTATGTATGTATGTATGTATGTATGTATTTATTGTATTGTATTGTATTGCATTGCATTGCATTGCATTGCATTGTATTGTATGTAATGTATGTAATGTATGTAATGTATGTAATGTATGTAATGTATGTAATGTATGTAATGTATGTAATGTATGTAATGTATGTAATGTATGTAATGTATGTAATGTAATGTATGTAATGTATGTAATGTATGTAATGTATGTAATGTATGTAATGTATGTATGTATGTAATGTATGTAATGTATGTAATGTATGTATGTATGTATGTAATGTATGTAATGTATGTAATGTATGTAATGTATGTAATGTATGTAATGTATGTAATGTATGTAATGTATGTATGTATGTATGTATGTATGTGTATGTGTATGTATGTTGTATGTATGTGTATGTATGTATGTATGTATGTATGTATGTATGTATGTATGTATGTATGTATGTATGTATGTATGTATGTATGTATGTATGTATGTATGTGTGTATGTGTGTATGTGTGTATGTGTGTATGTGTGTATGTGTGCATGTATGTATGTATGTATGTATGTATGTATGTATGTATGTATGTATGTATGTATGTATGTATGTATGTATGTATGTATGTATGTATGTATGTATGTAGGTGGCTAGCTAGCTAGCTAGGTAGGTAGGTAGGTATGTATGTAGGTAGGTAGGTAGATAGGTATGTATGTATGTACGTATGTAGGTACGTAGGTACGTAGGTACGTAGGTATGTAGGTATGTAGGTATGTAGGTAGGTAGGTAGGTAGATAGGTATGTATGTCTGTGTATGTATGTATGTATGTATGTATGTATGTATGTATGTATGTATGTATGTATGTATGTATGGTCCCATGTCCCGTGTTCCCGAGAGCGTGAGCTTGGGGGACCATACCATTGGGGGGGGGCCAGGGATCCGGAGTCCGGACTCATACTGCTTACTATAAATAGAAAAAACTGTATCTCTGTACATGTGTATATATATATACAATATATTCATAATCCCCAATATATGATTAGCAAATTTCCCCAACTAATCATCAACCAACCGGGGTTTGGCACTGCTCATATACCCTCCTCTAAACTCTAAACTAAGATAGATGTGCAAAACCCACTATGTGCAAAAAACGATGGAAACCAGGGGTTTTCCATGGTTTTCCACACCTATCTTAGTTTACCCTACTGTACCCTCCAGTAACAGTTTGCTATGGAAAATGGCCTATTTAGTTCGTTGAGTTACAGTTTTTTAACATGGTGATTGTCCATTGCTATCTTAGTTTACCTGGTTGGTGGTTTCAACCATCGTGAAAAATATGAAAGTCAATGGGAAGGATTATCCCATATATTATGGAAAATAAAAAATGATCCAAACCACCAACCAGTTACCCTAGGGTATCTTTTGCCACATCCAGAGCTTCTAGTCCTTATAAACGCTGAAGGCCACGTCCATCTGCAAGTCGTTCTTGTCGCTGTCCTTCGGCGGCGTGATGAATGGACAAAGCCAGGGCGTACACAGATGTACCCTCTGGTAATTTAATGGTGATTTAATGGTGATTAATGGATATTAATGGTTATTTATGGTGATTTAATGGTGATTTGATGGGATGTAATGGGATGTAACCTCTGGTAATTTGTTACAGAGCTATCGAACATGGCCCCTTATAGTTAATGTGCTCATTAAAAATGTTGATTTTCCATAGCTATGTTAGTTTGCCAGAGGCCAATTCAATATGCATATACAAAGTGGGCCCCAAATAGCTAAGTTGATGAACCTAATTCCAATAACTCTGGTACTCTGGTACTTGTAACTAGCTTTGATGAGGTGTATAAATAAAACTGCGGGGCCCCACAGTGTAGGAGACAATGGGATCCAACGGGAGTCTTTTAATCGGATATGCCATATAGATATCCCAAGAATATCATGTCGGTTTGTCTCAAATGGAAGCTACTACTGACGTCTGGCGAACCAATGGAAAATGAACATAAATATATACATATATACTGTCTGGTTATTTAACATAGCCATGGAAAATCACCACTTTTAATAGGTGAACCATCTATACATGGGCCATCTATACCATGGCTATGTAACAAATAACCAGAGGGTATATATATATATATAAACCTACAATGTGGTTAACCACAGTTGTAAGTTGGTGTATAAACCCAACTTAAGTTATAGGCCAACGAATCGCCGACGAACTGGGTCACCGTAATAAACGAAAAAGGGAAATATCACCCTCTGCAAGTATCAAGCATGGCTTTAAAAAAAATCCTTTTTCCATATTGGAGAAACATCTTTGAAGGTATAGAAATGGTGGATTTTCCGCTGCTAATCTGCCAATCTCCATTTTTGCTTGGTATCATGCAGGAAAAACACATCCAGACCCAAACCGGTTTGTGTACTATCCATTTGGTAGTATTTGGGGTAGGAATACTCTGAAATTTGCTTCTTGCATAGAGTGAGTATATATGGAGGTTTCCTAAAATACGGTACCCCCAAATCATCCATTTTAGTAGGATTTTCCGTTGTAAATCTTCCATTTGGGGTACCCCCATGACTATGAAAACCTCCAAATAGTTTGATCTTAGATTGACTCCTCCATACAGAAACTGTAATGGAGACTCGCAGACCATAGGCCCTGTAAACCACAGCTCTTGTGAATCAAAACCAGCCCGCAGCTCCACTGCCCTCTGTTTTTGCATGTTTTCTACCGGGTGAAATCCAGATGTGTATGGCTAAATAAAATTGCCCTATTTCAAAGGACGAAATCCCGTGGAAAAAAACCTTCAATTTACATTTTCATTTGAATATCAACCCCTACCAACATGCAGGGTGGTATCCCCCAATGATGGTTTATCATCACCATTGACTAGATCCATGTTCTACCCCCACCTGAACACTATCTTAGCTATCATTCTCATCAGCTACAATTAAGTTCATCCGGGTCCCATGGAATTCTCCATATTTTTCTTGCTTCAAGTAGCATGTTTCCTCATGTTCCTCAGTTTTCTGTGTTTTTTCCCACATTGTTCATCGTTTTCCTCAGTTTTCCATGGTTTTTTTCCGTGGTTTTCATCCGCCCGGCACCGGCGCCGGTTTTCCATGGCCAGCCAGGTCGTCTCCTGCTTTGGAAAGCCGGCAGCGCTTCTGGACGTGACCACCTCGAAGGGATCGAATGGTTTCTACATACCACCTATAAAAATGGTGATAGCTGGGGGATGGTAAACATGGCATTGTTTTAACCACATCAATGGTATATATATATACACATAATGGGATAATCATTGTACAATGGTATAGCACTGGTTTATGAAATTGTTTTACCCTCTGACAAACTAACATAGCTATGGAAAATGGCCAATTTCTAGTTGAAATACCTATTAAAATTTGTGATTGTCTATAGCTATGTTGAATTACCAGAGGGTAACCACATTAATGGGATATCATTGCATTATATACATATTGTATTATATAATATCCAAATATATATATATAATATTATTGCAATGTGATATCATATATATAACATAATGTAATGCAATATAATATATAATTTAATGACATATTGCGTGTAAACTAATCAAATGTAATCTGGTAAAATGTAAAATACAATGCTATACTAGGGAGTGATTATAAAATAATGTATTATATAACAAAAAGAACATATCATATACTATTATACAGTAAACCAAAACAACCACTTGACATAACTTAACATATATGTGATATTATGTTATATTATGTATATATATATACTTGTGAGATATAAAGGGATGTTTGAGCTTCCAATTTGGGGAACACAACTGATAATGAGAAAGCGAGTACAGTAGTAAGTCCCTTCAGTGAGGATCGCCCAGTTCCAAGTGGGCGAACTAATCATACTATGGAAACCAGTTACCCTTTGGGTATTTGCTACATAGCTATGATATAGATGGTCCATCTATGGATGATTTACCTATATTTTTGTCTATTCAGAATCATGACTTTCCATAGCTATGTTGAATAACCAGAGGAAACGATCTGTTTTTCATGATTTTTCAAGTACCCGTCTTTCAGAAACGGTACATGTCAGACACGGTACGGAGTGTACCGTAGCTATACAAGCAGTGAAACATACGGGATTGACCCACTCAGGAAGAAATCGTGAGCAAATTCCATTGAGACCCACAAAAGATAAAGCAAAGTGGAAGCTATCCACTAGAAATGTTGGTTACATGTGGGTGTGTCTGAAAATCGAGTATACCCAATTCCAATGGATTGATTATTGTCATTGCCAATACTAAAATGATGATTTGGGGGGTTACTTTACTTTCAGACACGGCCATGTTGGAAATTGTTCACCAGAAACCAAGATTTACATACCCTATGGATCCAGTACCTTCTGAAAGGAAGTGGGACTGGGGTATAATTTACGATCATTTGGAGAGTTATATAAGTACCTTCTCAGACAGTGGCCATGGATCCATAGGGATACTTAACATAACTACTAGTAATTAACAGGGGTGCTGTCCATGTTTGCACCACGGTTTTTTTTTCAAGGTGACCTACAATGCGAGGCCCCCCAGTGATGTTTGTTGGTTTAGATTCGCCCCAGTAACTAGTTCGTTATAAGTACCATAAACCATAGTTATTGGAGATATTTGCACCAACTTAGATATCTTGGGGGCCTCACGTTGTACAAAGTGCTTCACAGTTTCAACCAACTTTGCGATGGTGATGATTGCTGGTGACCCATCGATTTCGAAAGTCCCAACGCTTCTGGTGTGGCAACATCCCGTGGTATATTTGGTGAGGAAAGTGAGCACGGCAACCTGGACACTAAAAATGGCTAGTCGATAGGATTGAGCCACCCATCAAATGGGGAAATTCAAAGGAATATGAGGCCCTTCAAGTGATAGGTGTTCTGCTTGTTAAAACTACCGGACACGAACTGTTGAACATGTTTGGTGGACACTATCCTCCGGTAATCAAACGTTGCATGGAAAATCACCAAATGATTTTCCAACAATACCTCCAATTTCCAATTGCCATGTTTGATTACCAGAGGGTAATGACAGACTACGGTTCATTTATTGGCGCCCATGTAAGCTACGTCCAAACGTGGGGTAGACCCTCAAAATGGCAATTTTACTAGGGAACATGAGTTTCTAAACCAGCGGAGTTTTCAGAGTTATCCTAACATGTTCAGGTCCCAAAGCAATATCTATACTTGTTTTTGAAAGCGAAAGGACCGTGATCTACACTACACTTGTTTCAACGGTTTCACCAGTAGATAAAACGGTTTCACTTTGGATTGACTTTTCACGGTGACAATGAGACGGTAATCAGACCGTGTATTGATTTTTTGAAATAAATCCCAATGACTTAACCAATGAGTACAATGTGGGGCCCCCAAGATAGCTAAGTTGGTTTATAACTCCAATAACTATGGTTTATGATACTTATAACTATAGTTACTGGGGATTATAAACCAACTTATAACTGGGGGGCCCCACATTGTAGTATTCCATGGGGCCCAGTGTTTCTGTAGCTGTTCCAGCAGAGCTGCGTTTGTGCATCTGACACTGAACTGAGCTGTGCGTTTGTTGATGAACAAAAACTGAGGTCGCGAAGCGCGTCGCGTTGTAACCGTTGTGTCCCCACTTTGGTACGCTCATCTTCCTGTTTCACTTCCTTCGCCCATGGCTGTAGATCTGCTGACCCTGGTTTCTCTACACACATTTCAACTTCCAAAGGCTCTTTCAGTATTCAGGCGCCGGGGGGTATTTCACCTGGTCTCGAACCTTGTCAGCTATATCAGTGCTGCGTGCATTGTGTTTTTCCTGCGAATCAGGATCATCTGGATCTAGAATCTAGAGAAAAAATCATGTCTATAGCTTGGATCCAGTATTCACACTGGCCACTTTTCCATAGAATTTCCCATCATGGATTCCCAATATATTGGATAATAAAAGACCAACATAATTTTCTCAACTAACAGGGATTTGGCAGCCACTGCTCACATCAAACCCCACGAGACGTTGACCACCGAAACATCGAAACCCTTCGACCTCCCAAAGTGTGTGTCTAAAAAGAAGGGATCTGATGGCATTTTATGCCAATAACACAACCACAAATTCATACGAAACTTACGTGTGATAAATCATATTTAGATGTTGGATGATGTTGGCAAAGTGGCTTCATCATGCTGAACAAATCTTTCTATTCCACTAAAGAATTCATTCACTCGGTCTCCATTCCATTAGTTTGGTGAAGTCCTGTTTGGTTTTAACCCCAAAAAATATGCGTCCTGCTCGTCATCTCAACTAATCATCTCAAAATTGTATGGTTTTTCAAAACATCCCAAATGTTTGAAACCCCCCAGCATCATTGATTTACAGCCATGAAATATACCCATGAAACTTACTCAGTAATTACTTGGAATTGCAGTTGTGAAGTAAGTCGATATTTCTATAGCTATAGGGGGCCCCATATCCCAACTTGATGGGGTTGAATTTCCGCTATCGCCATGGCCAATCAGCCAGATACCCATAGATTCCCTGCAAAAAAATATGAGGTTCTTAGCTGGTGAGTAAGTAGATACCCTCTGGTAATTTAACATAGCTATTGAAAATGGCCATTTATAGCGAGTTTTCCCATTAAAAATGCTGATTTTCCATAGTTTTCTGTATGTTTACCAGAGGGTAATTCCGTTGATACCAAAAGACTAAAGGATTAGTTTCTACCCATCCAGTTGGTTAAATCCGGCATCCCAGTGACTAAACTGGTGGTATCTCTGTGGTCGCGCTGTTCCACATAGTTGTCGTCCACATCCTGCGGCAGAAAAACAAGAAACTTGCAGAGTTTCATCTTCTAGGGTTTAAGTTGGATGGGTTTTGGACGTTTTGGTGGACTTTAGATTCTTAGATGGTTTTGGATGGCTTTAGGTGGTGGTTTTTCATGCTCTTGGATGGTTTCAAAGGCTTTCGCTGGTTTTAAGCTGGAGAGATTAGCGGTTTTTAGTGGAAACACGGTTGGTCGTTAAGGGTACTTAGAAGTTACCAGCTCGGTAAGCCAATGGTGTTTGACAGTTCTGTCACATCGTGACAAAACAAGTGACGTTGGCCCTCTGGTAATCAATAGTTTGGCTACCCTCTGGTAATCAAGCATGGCAATAGAAAATGCCAAATCAAAGATAAAGTTTCAATCAAAAAACTCCTTTTATGTGATTTCCCAGCTAGCTATGTTTGATTACTGGAGGGTGTTACAGTTTTACCCTTTGGTTATTTATATAACATAACTATGGAAATGGTCCATGTATAGATAAAAATACCCATCAAAGATTGCAATGTCCCATTGCTATGTAAAATTACGGCCCTAGAAACTCTGTTGAAACATCTTGAAGATTCACTTCAACACGCCAGTCAATATCCCTCTTCAATGTACTTGGAAACCGTGCAAATGCTGTGTGGGCAAAAAGGAGTGGGTTTGCGCGTACATTTACATACATTTACCAGAGCTTATATCACACTTATTCTAGAAATGGGATTCGATATGTGCAAGGCATAATGTCTCTCAAAACGATTTCCCTAAATGGGTATGGGTCAATACCTATAGATACCATATTTTAGTGGGATGAACATCCATAAAAACAAGCTATTTTGCGGTTCACTAGGTACCAGGTTTTTGACCCATCCCCAAATAAAGATGGTGATTCTTTGCCGTTGCGTGTGACGGATCTTGCCTATCTTGGCTTCTTTGCCTTGTAGAATGGCCTTTACTCACTAGAACTCAGATATCATATTGAGAAACAACTCAAAAGTGTAGGCTAAATGTGTGTCAAAACCTTGTTAAATCACATCTTATATATATATATATCACTTTTGAGATGTATGTTATAAAGATGTTGATATATAATGATTTATCATATTGATTTATATATCACATCTTATAAATCATTTCTCTATATATACATATATGGCAGTGTGTCAAAACCAATAGTACCCCTGTAGTTCACATCAAAATAGCTGGTTTTTATGGATGTTCATTCCCCTAAAAATGCTATTTTCATAGGCTTTGATCCATAGCCATATGTCTATATATATGTATTATATATACATTCCCGCTGTCATCTGATTGTTAAGTCATGGGACAGATCACGACCCGCGCTAAGCTCGTCCCAACTATGTCCCAGTTCACCGGTGCCTTGCGGACGTGCATGGAATACAAGAGCTTTGGCTTCGTCACCAAGCAGCGCGTGACTAAGCCCTCAACGCCTCGTGGCCGTGGCGTTATGATTTATGTGGTAGAAATGTCACATGAAATGATGATTTATAATGATTCATAATGATTGATAATGGTTTATAATGATTTATAATGATTTATAATGATTTATAATGATTTATAATGGATCCAAGTATCTTCTTAGGAAGTGTTTGGGGTATAATTTACTATAATGTGGAGGGTTAAGTACCTTCTCAGACAGTGTTTGGATCCATAATGATTGATAATACTAGAATGATAGAATGACAATGATGGATAGTAGTGATTAATGATTGATAGATATGATAGTGACTTGTTTTTTGATGTGTAAGGGTTATTTATACTGATAATGATTGATAGTAAAGAAATTATGTATCATAATTGAAATTATGTTCATTGTAGTGTTGTGATCTGCGATTCATTGGGATTGAATTCCAGGAGACGCTTGGAATTCCCTGTTGTCGTCTAACTGTTTTTATCTGTTTTGGCAAAACCGAATATGTCATTTCATAGTGGTGAAGAACCACGGAGAAAGTACGATAATTGTAGAACTTACTGGAATATACTGGAAGTTATCCATAAATAGGATATCAACCTATCATGGGGATATGAATAGGGATACCCTTTGGTAATTTATCACGTGGAACATCCCCCAGCTATATTTGGAAATCAAGAATGGTAGAACCCTGAATATTCATTCGGTGAGGAACAAAAAAAAATCGCCATAATGAACCCTGGTTTTTCATGTTTATCCCATCGAATACTGCGTGAGCCTGAGCTAAAAATAATCCAACAGTTGTTTTGACTGCGGTGATCCAAATAGGGAATACTGGGATGTCGCCAGGGGTCCTCAATAAAGCCAGGAGATCAGCACGAACCTGGTGGGGCATCATAATCTCCAGTAAATCATCCTCAGAAGTAAGTACCCTAGGGTAAACACACAAAAAACCGGAGGAAAACCCATGGTTTTCCTAGGAAAATCATCTACAAATGATAGTTTTTTTCACATCTATGCTAGTTTACCCCAGGGTATTTTACATTATACTACATTATATACCTAGACCCTCAGGTTCCCTCCGCCATAGTTCCAATACGTTCATCTTCATGGGTCGACTGTCTGTATATTCAAACCACCTCCTCACTTGGAATTCCAAAGATGGTTTTGATGATTTACTGCACCTGGGGAAATTTTGGATACCCGAAATTGAGAATGACATTTCGACAATCCTTTGGATTTATTTTCTTGTGTTGCCCTGGGCTTGAGACACAGCCGCCGAGCCGGGAGCAAGACAACACGTTTTTGGTTTTCATTCCAAAAATGAGGGAATTTTTAAGATCCCAGCCGAGTCAATTCATTTTTGGATGTCTACTGGTTTTTTCTACGCCAAGATATGTATCCAATCCTACATCCCCTGCAAAAAAAAGATTGTTCATATATACCCCCATCAAACTGGGAAAAGATTGAGTTGTGCTAAATTAGCAATCGAGTCAGTTTACCAAGTGATATTCCAGACAAAAATGCCTACCATCTGGAAATTAGCAAAGCTATGGATAATCACCATTTTGAACAGGTAAATAAGCATTGATGATCTATAAACGGACCATTTTCCATAGCGATGTTAAATAACACAGGGTAGCATGTATACAGGGATTACTATATATGGATATATATATATATGTATATATAATATATATATATATTATTTGGGGGATTACTATATATATATATATATTTGGGGGATTACTATATATGGATATACTATATATGCAGGTTTCCTAAAATAGGGGTACCTCCAAATCATCCAGTCGTCAGTATACCATGACCTAACCTTTCTTAAGCGTTTTGACTTTGGGCGCAGTTGAAGCAGTTGACCTGGGATGACCCGCAAGTCTACGACGTCTACGACCTGGGATGACTACTATGGGTATAACTATGGTTAATTCATGGGGGTATCCTATTATAATATATTACAACCATTGTTTAATTTAACGGTTATAAGTTATAACTGCAAAAATGCTAAAACTATGGGTATAACTATGGTTTTTAACAATGGGTATAGCTATTTTCATGGCTCTTCGACAATGGTTATAATATATTATAATGGGGATATGATTCTGGTTGGTGGTTGACCTACCCCTCTGAAAAATCATGGAGTGAGTTCGTCAGTTGGGATGATGAAATTCCCAATTAATATGGAAAGTCATTCAAAATTCCATGGTTCCAAACCACCAACCAGATACATATTGTATGATATAATGTCCCAATATGTTCAGAATATCATTATAGTAATATCCCAATATAATATTAAGATTATTGCAATGTGATATCATATATACAGTGTATATATAATATATATATATATAATATATATATATAATATATATATACACCAATTCCTACACATTACCAACCTCTATCCAGATTGAGCAGCCCAACACATCAGTTGACCGGTGTACTCGGCCGTCATGCCACGAGGGGTGACCTTTGCAAAAAGCGAACTTGGTTTCGCGCAGTGAACGGCAGTGAAGGCTTGGTATAAACTAAAGTTAACCCCCCACTAAACTTATGTTCATCTCAGCCAGCCAGGGATTGGAAATCATATATGTTTTTTAGTTTTTTCCTTGGTCCGGACTCAGTCTGTGGCTGTAAGATTCTCATAACACTAAACTTAGCGAACTAAAGCTATAAAAGTTATATATAAACGTGGGTAACTAAAGATCTAACTTAGTGAACTTGTGAACTTTTGAGCTTGATATATCTAACTATAGTTACAATGTGGGTAAAACAAGAATACACCACCCCATGTTTGATGGTTTCTACAATTTTATACCACCCAAAAGAATGGTCGTAACTGGGGATGGTAAACATGGCAGCCAGTTTTAACCACATATTCGGGGCCCCATATCCCAACACACATGGGGCAAACCTATGATTCAGCCGGGTTTCCTTAGGGAGTTACGCACTAGCTTGAGATTGTTGGGTAAACGCACAAAGAAGAACAGTGGC